TTTTAATTTTATTATTATATAAATAAATTTAATTAACAATGTTCTTAATTTAATATTAATTAGGATTTCTTTTAATACTATATAAAGTATAGGTTAAGGATTTTTTAATATTAAATTTATATAAAAATATATAAATAAACATTAATTTTAATTTTATTATTATATAAATAAATTTAATTAAATAATTAATAAATTAAATATTATTTTTTATTCTTTTAAACTTTTTAACCGGTACCTAAACTAAAAAAACTCAATTAATAATGACAACAAGTACACACATTTATTTATTAAAAAATAGTGAGTAAAAATTCAAAGAGCCATTCTCTACTGTACCTAATTTTACTTTTATCTATAATTATTATTATTAGAGGAGTTCTTAGTCAGGAATCCATTACAAGCGCAATAATTAAAGGAGTCCCAACCATCAGGCGGGGCATCCAACAATTAAAGTTGTCAATTAGAAACACCGTCCCACGGGTTTTCGTAATTATCACGTCTCCTTAAGATCTTATCGCAAGTTGATTTTCTCTCCTAAACATAGCAACTCATCTTCACCCCTTTTTCCATCACTGTTTACCCTCTTCACTCTGTTTCTTCACCGATTTTTCTCAGTTCTTTTCAATTTCTCTCCTCATCAATCAATATTATCTCTGAAAATGTCGGATGCGCTTGTTTCCGCTATCTTGCAGCAGCTAACTACAATTATTTATAGAGAGTTAGAACAAGAGGGGAAACTGTTGACTGGAGTGGGGAAAGAAATCAAGAGTCTCAGACTCAATCTCGAATCCATCCATGCTTTGCTTGATGATGCTGAGGAAAGGCAGATGAAGGATAAAAGCATCAAGATTTGGTTAGAAAGCCTCAAAGAAGTATGTTATGACCTGGAGGACGTGTTGGACGAGTGGAACACCGCGCTCTTGAAGATGCAATTAGATGAAGCAGATCAGAAAAACTTCTCTCTTTTCAAGGGAAAGGTATGTCGTCGCTTCCTTCCATGTTTTCGTTGTGGCCAATTTGTTCAACGCCATGACATTACTCTTAAAATGAAGGACATCAATGAAAGATTAGATGAGATTGCTAAGGATAAAGATAGGTATCAATTGATACCAAGGAAAGTTAGACAGGCTAGAAGAGTAGAAAGTACAGATTTTACTGAGGTGTCGAAGTTACATGGTCGAGATGAGGTTAAGAAAGACTTAATAGACAGTTTGTTGTGTGGTAACAGTGATGAAATAGAGAATGATGTCAAAACCATCTCGATTGTAGGCATGGGAGGGATTGGGAAAACAGCTCTTGCTCAACTTGTATATAATGATGGGGCGGTTATGGCTCATTTTGAGAAGAGAATATGGGTTTTCGTCTCAGAAGTTTTTGACTTGAGCAGAGTCGCGAAAGCAATTATTGTGGGTCTTGAAGGTCCTGATCATGCTTCAGCCCTAAATCTTGATTCCTTTACACTGCAAGATCTTCTGGAAAAAATTTGCAAAGATATTGAGAGGAAGAAGGTTTTTCTTGTTCTGGATGATGTGCGGACAGATGAAAGCAAAAGTTGGGAATTATTAAATCAAGCTTTAAGTCTTGCTGCTCCTGGAAGTAGGATTTTGCTGACTACACGGAAGAATACAGTTGTACAGGCCTTGAAATCCTTTACTGTCTTTAATCTTAAGGAATTGACCGAAGATGTATGTTGGAAAATACTTAGCCAGGAAGCGTTTATGGGAAGGGGTGATGAGCAATGTAAAAATTTAGAGGCAATCGGAAAAAATATTGCAAAAAAATGCAGTGGATTGCCATTGGCTGCAAAAACTCTTGGAAGCATGCTACGTTCCAAGAAAACAAGAGAAGAGTGGACAAATATCTTGAACAGTGAGATATGGAAATTAGATTTGGAAGCTGTTTTCGCTTCTTTGTTGTTGAGTTATTTTGAGTTACCCTCAGCTGTAAGACGGTGCTTTTTATATTGCTCTACCTTCCCTAAAGGTGTTGGGATCGAAAGAGATGTCCTGATTTATCAGTGGATGGCACAGGGTTATTTAAATTCTAGTCAGAATCCTGAGATGGAAATTACTGGGGTTGAGCACTTTGAGTGCTTGGCGGCATGGTCTTTCTTTCAAGATCTTGAAAAATATGAAGATGGTAGCATAAGGGCATGTAAGATTCCTGACATGGTACTTGACTTTGCTCGTTTCCTTATGGGAAATGAATTTATGGTGAAAGAGGTTCATCCTCATGATGATGATATAAGAATAGAGCTTTCTTCAGAGAAAACTCACCATCTGTTGGTAGTACTGGCAGAAAATGCATGCATTCCTACTTCGCTTGTTGGTGCAGAAAAATTGCGGAGCTTATCCATCTTCAAGAGTGATCATGCAGAAGAAGATAAAACCGGTAACTTATTTATTCAACCAAAACATCTGCGTTCATTGATTTTCTGTGGTGGTAATATTAATGGATTTCCTGAAGAAGTTGGCAACTTGATTCATTTAAAATTGCTTGATTTGTCTCGTAGTAAGTTAAAAAGATTGCCTGAAGCAATATGCCGATTATTTAATTTGCAATCTTTGATTCTGCGAGAATGTTCTCTGGAGAGACTGCCGGATGAGATAGAGAACTTGGTCAACTTAAGGTATCTTGACACAACTGGTTGTGATTTTACTTACTATCCCAAAGGAATTGGGAGATTAACTTCTCTTAGAACGTTGCTGGGGATTGTCGTTAGCTGTGATCACAATGATGATAAAAAATTTAGCTTGGGGGATTTGGAAAACTTGTGCCACCTTCGTTTTCTGGCATTGAAAGTTGAAGATGGTCAGATTGATGCTAATGAAGCCAGACGTGCGAAGCTGGGAAGAATGGCACATCTCGAGGATGTAAAGTTATATGGTCCGTGGAAGCTCCAAACGGAAATGGATAATGTTATCAAAGTCCTAGACCCCCCTTTGCGCATAAACGTGACATTTCCTCAGTAAGAACTTTTTAAAATACTCAAGGCACGTGTTGTAAGCCCACTAGCACCCTACGTAAGCCCTCAATCTATTGTTTCTATTATTAATTTGAGGGGAAATGAAAGGCTGTTTCTCCTCTCCAAATCACACTGATTAACATCTGCATTTATTTTGCAGATGCAGCATGTCTCTTTAACGGCACTTTGTGAGTGGGGTACTTCTGGCGGTGAAGCTGAAGCCGTTAAAAATACTGCGTGTGATGTTCCTCTTTTTTTTTATATATATATATATATAACAAAGAAGTCTTTTGTGTTTTCCAGTTGTTGATTAGATTATTACCCTCATTGTATGTATTTTCCCTGTTTCTTTGGTGGATCAGTGAACACAATTCAGAACTAATAATCTTGTCATGGATACTTTATGATCAAATTCCTATAATTTCTTTGTTTCGAAAACCTGTTGTTGATAAATAAAACATAAAAATGACAACATATTCTGTTTTTGTTTTCATTTCCATACAAATGCGTCTGTAAAAATTAGAAAAATCCCATAACAATCTTCTTGGTGTGGAGTTTTATGGGCATAACAAAATAGTGGGTTACAAAAACCACTGCTAGACAAAGCAGAAAGACCAATTCAATATCAATGCTATTATCTAAATTAATATATAGATGTTACCAAATCGGACTGGTCTTTGGAATGCTACAGTGGTGGTAGGTTTGGGGTTAGACCTGGTAAAAATCCAACAGATTCGTCAACCCGACCTTAACTCGACACGTAAAAAACGGGTTAGGGTCTATATATCTCAATTTACAATCCGTAGATAACCTGTATTATCAACCCGTACGGGTTATGGGTCAGGTTAGGATCAACCCGCGGGTTAATGGGTTGACCTGTTTATTTTATTTATTATTATTATTTTTAAATATTATAGTTATTATTCTTAATTAATTTTTCGATTGGTAACTCCTTCCATTAATTCATATTCCCTAATTTCTAGAGAAAGAAAAATAAATTATGATAAGTTTGATCTAATTACCCAAGTATCATTTTTTTTTTTTTTGTATTAACAATTACCCAAGTATCATGAATGAAATGATAATGCAACTAAAACTATTAAAAGATGTGATGTTAAGATATAAATATAATAACTTAGTGAAAGATGTTTTTGGAAGAGCAATTTCATCATTAAAAAAATGGATTAAACTACTTGATAATGTTTCCAGATGATTATAAAATTAAAACTTTATTTTCTAAGAAATTTAAATATTTTACGTTTAATATTTTTATTATTAATC